GGAAAAACATATGATTAACCCACTAAAAATAGACTTAACACAAATAACTCCTTCAACCCTTGTTTTAAGCAAAATTAATTGTTATAATTTCTCATGTTGGCAAATACCCATCTTGCCCCTCAAGTTTTCAGGTTGATTTCCATCAAGAGCCTTGGTAGAAAAATCAGTCAGCTGAAGCTTAATGATACCATGTTCCAGTTTAATTGTCTTCTTCTCTACAAGGTCAATGTGCTTGGTCCTGCTATGCTGAATAGGGTTCTTGGAAATATTGATTGTATTCAGATCGTCATAATACAATGTCACAACATCTTGTGAGACATTATACTCAGTGAGCATCTGTTTTGTCCAGATATTTTGAGAACAGCTATCACCAGCTGCAACTATTTCAGCACAGAGTTGAGAAGGCATTCTTTTGACATGAATCATAGCTCTGGCAGATTCCTGTATGATCCTATTTTTCCTTCTGCCAACTCCATTTTGATGAGGAGTTATAGGAGAAGAGAATTCATGACTCATTCCTTCTGAGAAACAGAATTTCTTAAACTTGTTGTTTCCAAATTCCTTGTCATGATCACTTCTGATTCTAACAATACATCTTTCTTTTTGAGTTCTTTTGCACAGTTCTCTGGAAACTTCAAGGTTATTCACCACATCATAGACATATCTCTTTTTACCAAGCCTTTCCATTTGATGTTCACCACAAACCCTCATTTTATCAATTTGCAGTCTTGGAATCCTTCTGACTGCTTCCATAGAGACAGTTCTTTTCATTCTTCTTAGATGAAGATGGCCAAGTTTTTGGTTCCACAGTTTCACCTCTTTTTCTTCTTTGGTAATAGAACACATAGTAGAGTTATTAGTGTTCTCAGGCTGCCACAAGTAACAGTTGTCTTTAGATCTGATACCTTTCATTACAACTTCTTGTTTTTCATTTAATACAAAACATTCAGATTTTGAGAAGATGACTTTGAATCCTAGAGCACACAATTGACTGATACTAATGAGATTAGCAGTCAGGCCTTTTACCAATAGTACTTCGTTCAGATTTGGAACTTCAGGACAGTCCAAATTATCAACTCCTTTGATTTCACCTTTGGCACCACTTCCAAAGGTTACATAACTAGTGGTGCGAGGTTTAACATGATTGAGAATGTTCTTGATTCCAGTCATGTGCCTAGAACACCCACTGTCAAAGTACCAGCCTTCCTTTGCAGAGACTCTCAGGGAAGTGTGGGCTATCAGGGCAGTAGCCTTTTTCTTCCATTGAGGAGTATGTGGTACACTTTTTGACTTAGGTTTAACACTTGGGCTCTGATTAGGGTATCCATACAATCTGAAGCAGAAAGGCTTAATGTGACCATACCTCCCACAATGATGACATCTCCATCTTTGGTACTTTTTCTTCATATATCTCTGTTTATGTTGAGAGTTGTGTTGAAACATCTGCTTTGACATTTGTTTAACAGGCCTGATCTTCTTGTCTGCACCAGATTTCTTAGCTTCCACAAATCCTAGTCCAGATTTGTTTCCCATATTTTGTCCAACCTGAAGGATCTCTTCCAATTTGTCTGTTCCATTTGTCAGCATCTTGACAGATTTGGTCATTTGATTCAGTTGTGAGTTCAGCAATTGAACTTCCCCTTCTAGATGACTTATAGTTTCAAGGTCTGCCCTTTTTTCAGCCTCCAGCTTTATGATGAGTTTTGATTGTTTCTCATTCTGCACACAGACTTCAGCACTTCTGATACACAATTTCTTGTAAGTATCAGCCAGTTCTTCAAATGTCACTTCTTCATCACTAGTGTCACTTTCAGAGGTACAAACACCAGTTAGAGCAGTAACTAGTTTGGCAGATTCTTCTTCAGAATTACTTTCTGAATCACAGTCAGACCAGGTAATAGTCATTCCTTTCTTTTGTTTCTTAAGAAAGGTAGGACATTCAGCTCGAATATGCCCATATCCTTCACAACCATGGCATTGAATTCCTCTGCCTTGATTTCCCTTCTCTTCTGACCTTGGTCTTCTGCTGGAACTGTCAATGTCAGATGGAATGTTATGAACATTAGACCTTGACTTTGGATCTATTCTTTTGATGAGTTTGTTGAACTGTCTTCCAAGCATGGCTATAGCTTCTGAAATATTTTCTTCTTCATCCTCCTTGTTTTCAACATCAGTGTTGGATACAAGTGATATGCTCTTGTTTTTCTTGTCACCATTTTCAGTGATCCCCATCTCAAAAGTCTGAAGAGACCCAATAAGTTCATCCACTTTCAACTTGCTGATGTCCTGGGCTTCCTCTATGGCAGTTACCTTCATTGCAAATCTTTTAGGCAAGGATCTGAGAATCTTTCTCACCAATTTTTCTTCTGACATCTTTTCTCCCAGTGCTCCTGAGGTGTTGGCAATCTCCAAGATGTTCATGTGAAACTCATGAATGGTTTCATCTTCCATCATTTTTAGATTCTCAAACTTGGTAGTCAACATCTGAAGCCTTGACATTTTTACTTTGGAAGTGCCCTCATGGGTAGTTTTGAGAGTGTCTCAAACTTCCTTGGCCAGTTCATATTGATGTACTAGTCTGAAAATGTTTCTATCAATTCCATTGAACAAGGCATTTAAAGCTTTGGAATTTCCCAGGGCTAACTCATCTTCTTCTTTACTCCAATCTTCCTCAGGCTTCAGACTGATTGTCCCATCTTTCCCAGTTATGGTGGGATGGTTCCATCCTTTGTCAGCAGCTCTCCAAGCCTTTTTGTCCAGAGATTTTAAGAAGGCAATCATACGAGGTTTCCAGTAGTCATAATTTGTTCCATCCAGAATGGGTGGTCTATTTCCAAAAACTTCTTCTTTGTCCATAGTGCCAGAAAGTGATATCCCTAGATCTCACCCAGTAACACAGGCAGGGTGTCTGCTCTGATGCCAATTGAAATTCTGGCTGCAGATACTCAATGTCACGTTCAATGTTATGACACCGTATCTGACTTTCTATAAGACAGTAAATACAAAAACAGTAAAGAACACAGTCAATTGTTTACTCAGTTCAGTGTGCAACAACACCTACTCTGGGGGCTACCAAGCCAGGGAGGAAATCCACTATAAGAGATATTAATTCAGGAATAAACCAACCAGTTTATCTCCTTCACTTAAGACCTACCCAATGCAACTTCAATCTAAGTACAACTTAAACCTGAGTTCCTACTCACTCCCCCTCAATCACAGCAGTGATACTTAAAACAATTTGACTAATGAATTGATGAAGACACTCTTCAAAACATACACTTGATTATGCTTCACAGCTTTTTAATCAAGCAACACAAACACTCTTGCTTCACAGCTTTGAGTGATACATAAACCTAACTTGACTTTGCTTCAAAGCTTTAATCAAGAGACACAAAAACACTCTTGCTTCAAAGCTTTGAGTGATACACAACCCTTACAATTAAAACCTATTCCAAGTCACTTATCACAATGATACTTGCTTGGATTACAATAGTTAAAACTATACAGCTTCTAAATGATCTTCTGTCAGAAGGGGTTAATTCCAAACAGCAGCCCTGTTGAATATATAGCAGTTGCATCTTCAGTTAGGGTTTCCACAAAAAGTTAGGGTTAATTCCGTTTGACCTTAAGACTTGGTCACAGGACTTTATTAACCAGGTTAGGGTTGAGCTAGGTTAACCCCAAGTCCACGAGATTTTCTGTTCTGGAAAGACTGAGTCATTTTCCTGAAAAAACTCAGAATTACCCAAACTGCATAACTGTTAGTTCAGAACAGGATGTCTTAACATTTGTTATGACATCTGAAATCCTGTCTACTGATTTTGGTAAATGTGATCTTTTTGCAAAATGCTCAGATACACACTCATAAACAACAGCACCTGTATGACAATATTTTTCTGCAAAGGTACCTAATGAATCAGTACCTAATAAACTAGAATGTTATGACATCAGTCATGACATTCACACACCTGGTTTTACCAAAAATGCATGCCAATAACTAAACAATTACACTAAAGAATGTGTTGGACTCTATATCCTCCAGGCTGAAGCATCTAAACCAGAACCCGAGGCAGCCTCTTGCGTTGTAGTTTCTGCATGTAGTGAAAATTCTGCAATGCTGTGGCACTATAGACTAGGCCACCTAAATTTTATGTACTTGGAAAAAATGCTTCATAAACTATTCAATAAAAATCAGAAGTTGTTTCAATGTGAAATTTGTCAATTGTCCAAACATACACGCAGCCCCCACCCACCTCAACCCTATAAACCTTCCAAACCTTTTTATGTTATTCATAGTGATGTATGGGGACCATCGCGGGTCAGAAATGTAACTGGAGCAAGATAGTTTGTCACCTTTATTGATGACCACACATGGATCACTTGGGTCTACCTTATAAAAGATAAATTGGAAGTTGGTAGGATATTTGAATGTTTCCATACCATGGTGGAAACACGATTTCAAAGCAAAATTAGAGTGCTTAGGAGTGATAATGGTCGTGAGTACTATAATTCTGCACTAAGCTCATACTTTACACAACATGGAATAATACACCAAATCTCTTGTGTGGATACACCTCATCAGAACGGGGTTGCCAAGAGAAAGAATAGACACCTCCTAGAAGTAACCCGGTCTCTCATGCTAGCTACAAATGTACCTAACCAGTTTTGGGGAGAAGTTGTCCTCTCTACAACCTATCTAATAAACAGAATGCCTTCCTGAATCCTTAACTTTCATACTCCTTACTCCACTCTCCAAACCTTATACCCAACCAATTGTATTCTTACATCTATTTCTTTGAAAATATTTAGACGCACAACCTTTGTCTTTAATCTTGATCCCCAATGCAGTAAACTTGACTCGAAATCCATTAAATGCATATTCCTCGGCTACTCTCCTCACCAAAAGGGATACAAATGTTATTCACCTCAAAACAAAAAATTCTACCACACCATGGATGTAACCTTTTTTGAGAATCAGTCATATTACCCCAAGTTGGCATTCAGGGGGAGAACACCTTTCCAATTGAAGTGGCGGAATCCCAACTTTTGGAACTTGAACTAACTGAACCCAAACTCACTGCAGAGGCATCAAAACCTACACCTGAACCAAATGAAAATGCAACAGAAATTGCAGAACCTACATGTGGACCAGATGAAACTACGTCAAAAAATACAGAGGAAATTGTAGTAGAAACTGCAACCCCTACAACAGAAACTGCACCATGAAACAACGTGAAAGTGTACTCCAGGAAGAGCAAGAAGTGAATAGAGTCCTGCATAGCTCCAAGGCAGAACCAAGAAACCTCCAAGACTCCAGAAAATGGCGTTCCCTCAGGTAATACTGCTCCTAACTCTGAATATTGATGATATTGATATTCCTATTGCATTAAGAAAAAATGTAAGATCCTGTACCAAACATCCCATTGAAAGATTTGTATCTTATGGAAAATTGTCCCAAAGTTACAAGACCTTTGTAACAGCTCTTGACAATACACATATTCCAAGCAACATCCATGAGGCACTCCAAAATTCGGAATGCCGCCGTAACGGAAGAGGTTCAGACCTTAATTAAGAATGGCACTTAGGAGATCACAAGCCTACCTGCTGGAAAGAAGCCGATAGGATGCAAATGGATATTCTCCATGAAGTATAATGCAGATGAGAGTGTAAACCAGTACAAAGCTCGACTTGTAGCAAAGGGATTTACTCAATCATATGGAGTAGATTATGAAGAGACCTTTGCACCGATGGCAAAACTAAACTCCATTAGAGTTATTCTCTCTTTGGCTGCAAATTTAGATTGGCCACTCCGTCAACTAGACATCAAGAATGCATTTTTAAATGGTGACCTAGAAGAGGAAGTTTATATGCAAATTCCTCCTGGACTCGAATCATCCAGCACCGCAAATATGGTGTGCAGGCTCCGAAAATCCCTTTATGGCCTCAAGCAGTCTCCAAGGGCGTGGTTTGATAGATTGACTCGAGTTGTCAAGAAAGACGGGTTCAACCAATGCCAATCAGATCACACTATGTTTGTTAAACACTCCATGGAAGGAAAGGTATCTTTGTTTATTGTTTATGTGGATGATATCGTTATTACAGGAAATGATTATGATCAAATTGATCATTTAAAGGGACTCTTGGCAAAGGAATTTGAAGTTAAGGACTTAGGACAACTTAAGTATTTTTTAGGGATGGAAGTTGCTCGAACAAATGATGGTATTTATGTATCACAAAGGAAATACACCATTGACTTACTTCAAGAAACTGGAATGCTTGGGTGCAAGGCAGCTAATACACCAATAGAACAAATAAAAGGAAGAGAAGATGAAAATCCACCAGCCAACAAAGATAGATATCAAAGTCTAGTTGAAAAACTAATCTACCTATCTCACACTAGGCCCGACATTGGGTTCGCTGTAAGCTTGGCTAGTCGCTACATGTCAAATCCAACCGAGTCTAACATGAAAATGGCGAATAGAATCCTCCAATACCTCAAAGGCACACCAGGCTGAGGCCTCCACTTCAAGAGGAATTCAAACAGGGACATTAAAGTTTATACAGATTCAGATTGGATAGGATGCTCCACAGACAGAAAATCGACTACAGGTTATTGTTCATTTGTGTGGGGGAACCTAGTAACTTGGCGAAGCAAGAAACAATTTGTAGTGGCAAGGAGTAGCGCAGAAGCAGAATTTAGAGCTATGGCCCTAAGTATTTGTGAAGGAATGTGGCTTAAGAGCATGCTAGATGAAATCAAAATTCAAGTGAACCATATTGTGAAGTTACTATGTGATAACAATGCTGCTATAAGCATTGCAAAGAACCCAGTCCAACATAATAAATCAAAACATGTGAAATTGACTGACACTTCATTAAAGAAAAAATTGATCATAAGATTATAAGTATTGATCATATCCCATCATGCAAGCAAACTGCAGATATCTTAACCAAGGCTCTTCCAAGGAATACTTATGAAAATATCAAATCCAATCTGAGTATGATAGACATCTACCACCCAGATTGAGAGGGAGTGTTGAAGATTAGCACATATCAAATCATAATCATTTGATTCTGATTTGTCAAACTGTTACAAAACAGTGGTGTAAATAGATTTATTATCTATTATTGTCATTTCCTTATTTAGGTAGAAGCAATTATAGGAAATTATTTTTCTGTTTATTAACAAATTAGTGCACTGTATTCTGTATATACCTCAAAATGTAACAGTTCCAAAATCAATGAAATATACAACATATTTCTATACCTAGGATAGCTTATATCTGACATATATGTTCCTTAAAAGGAGAGTATTGATTGAAATCTTTTATTTCTTCTTTCCATTATAATTATTTCTTTTGGTTACACATTTTAGTTACCACTACATCGTCGATACGTATAGAAGGAGTATCGAAATTCTGTTAGATTAAAAAAACAAAACAATTTTGATACGTCCTGATACGGAAGCGGCAAGCCGCAATATATCTTTGCCACATCTCTGATACTCCACGCGTACAACCAGTTTATCTCATGAATGTTCATTATTTAGACATGAATCAAACTTTCCTCTCTTTAATTACGCTTCTCTCAACTTTAATTACCTCTTATGTTATGACTATCTTTCTTTTCTATAACAAGAATCAAACTTCCCCTCCTTAATCACTTTTCTCTCAAATTTAATTACTTCTTCTCTCTCCTATGTAATTTGTGATGCACCCATTTTATATTCTCAATCTCACTATTACTAGTTTTCAAGATTGGTTTACTTTTTTTCATAATTACTTCACCAATCATCAAATTTTGCAAATTCAGTTGATTTTTGCTGGACGTAATTTAACTAATGTATAATTTTTTATTTTTATATACGAATCGTAAACATATTGAATCCTATATTTTCAATGACTGATATATTGCAATATTGGATATGTATCATATTCGATACTTGCATCATTGGTTACCACAGATAGTCTGGTCTCATTGATATAATCCCAAAACTCATAGATCTTGATTCAGTTTTCACTTGTATATATGATTGTACAAATTCTTGAAAAACATGTGACATATTCAGATTCCAGTCGCTCTTATTGTGCTTAACCTAAAGCCTTTGAATTTGTGAGTCTCCTAACAGATTTTCCTGTTATAATTCTTAGACAAATAAGTTCTATCTTATCTGTTCATTAGGAAAATTACTTTTCCATACAAAACCCAAGCACCTAATTTGATCTAAAAAGTAGGCCTTAAATGTAATTGTTGATAATAAATAACTCACCAAAACACCAGCAGCCATATCCCATGGCTTGAGACGATATTCCCAATAAGCTTCTACAATTCCTAAAGCCACATGACACATATCCACTGCAGCTGCACCAAGCCGCCTTACTCCCTAAGAATCAAAGTCAAGAAAATGATTAGTGAAAGGCAGAGAAATGAGAAACATATTTTGTATATACTATATATTAGATGAATACCCTGCTGACGTCTGTAAATTCTTTGAATAAGTCTATGTTAGTAGCCCAGGCTTCATCATGATCATACCCAAAACCCGTCACTAGAAGAGATTGTTCCACCTAAAAGAAATGAAGATTACTCAGATTTTTCCATAAAAAAACACCGAAATAATTATATGATACAGGATTGAGCAGTTCTCTTTCTGTATTCTAAGGTATTATTTAGTCATAATCACCTGATTAGTTGAACTAACTTGGATCCTTTGGCCATTGCAGAATGCTCCACCTCCTACAAGGTATGCAATAGAACTATATCAAGGCAGAAACTATACAGTTATTGATAAAACTAATCACTAGAATAGAAAGAGAAAACAAGTTTGCTATATAATTTTTAGTTTCTCTAAGGGTTTGATAAAAGTTGAAATAGAAATTTATCTCACCAGCAGTTGCAGTGAAAATGCGAGTATTCCAACACATAGGACCGCCAACAAACTCAACCTGAAATTAATAAAAATTTATTAGCATATCCTGTTTTGTCCTAATTACGTTTTCTCCTTCATTATTTAGCATAATAGAAAATTAAGTAGACATTAGATACTATTTCATCTCAGATGAGCAGTCACACAATTAAAGTTATAAGTTTCTCCTATATTAAACGAAAAGGAAAGAGCGGATGGGAATTTCTCGAACAATGAAGGAAAAAAGACCAAACAGTTCCAAAAAAAGTTTGGCTTCTGATCGTTTTGAAAACTAAAAATCCAAATGATCTACTAATAGCATAATTTCTGTAACACCCTAGACTTTATATTTCATTGAATGTTTGTGTGTTTTATAGCTGTTCAGAATAAACTTGGGGTAGTATGACCCTTAGCAAATGATCTTTTTAGAATCAATTAGATAGAAGCGCCCCTAATTGATTAACACACGTTATGAATATTTTCTTTTAAAAATTGAAACAACTTATTCGATTAGGCTAGTAAGTACCCTTATTTGATTAGGATGGGTTATCCTTCCAAGATATGAAAAAACAGCTAATTTAGCTGATTAGAAGTCAAGATTTAACTGATTAGACAGTGTTTATCTAGCAGAAAATTCTCGGGCTCTCTGTTTCCAGCCCATTCCATTCTAGAATGTGTTCAAACACCTTAATCACATTGCAAAACCCTTGTGCCTCTAAATTCAACACTATTCTCTAGGATTTATTTTACTAGTGTGAGTTCTTGAAGATTCATCAATCAAGGAGTTGTGTTTTGCTCATTCTTTGTCAAGGACGCCATTGCTGCTTGCTGAAAGTGTTACCATGCTATTGTTGATTTTTGTTCGAGGTTTTCAGTCTCTGTAACCAGGTAATACATGTGTTTCTATCCTTTTTTAATCTCTTATGCCTTTTATGGTTTTTGAGATTATACACTCTCATGACTCCAATTTGAGTAATTATGCTTTTAATTGGATTTGATAACCCTTGTATGAGCAAAGGGTATAACTGCAGTGCAGTGACAAATGGTTTGGATTCTCAACCTGTATGTCTGATCTATCTATCTAGAGTTTGTTTAGATATGATAAAATAAAACATTCAAATAACATCCTGCCACAGCTAATCCCTTTATCCCAGTTTCAGGATTGCCGCTTATCTAGGCTAGACATCTATGAGTTAGATACCTCATCCACAATCATCAGAGTAATGCCACTCCACAGATGACTCGAGACGGATAGTGGTTGCCAGACCCCAATGGGATAAAGATTAAAGTATTTGTTTCTTCAACAAATCAAATATTCTGCCATGGAATTTAATACCCTTCCTCATACCACTCCATCAGAAAACAGCATCTTTTCTACATGGAAATTTAGTGGTGTGAATGGAGGTTCTTCTAGGACATGGCGGTAAATGGAAGAAATGAGGCATGGAGACTATGGAATCCTATAAGGATGCAGAATTAATGACTGATAGAAAGTTGGCTTAAGATATGCTTTTTAGAGGATATCTTGTCATATGGAAACAAAAAGAAAAAAAATTAGTTTTTTGATCAAGCACTGAGGCTAAATTCCAAGTTATGGCACAAGAGTGAGTTATCATCAATAAAGTTTGCATTAAGCAACATGAAATAGAAGTAAAAGATAAGAAAAAATCACCACTGTAGCAGCAGTAGGTTTTCCTCGATATAGAACCCCAACAGAGACAGCAAAGCTGGGATAGCCATGTGCAAAGTTTGTTGTCCCATCTACAAAATTATACAAGATTTGTAATCTAAATATCCAACTTCCAAGTGATGCCTTTCTATAGAAAGAAAAAAAACTCCAAAATGAACATTGAAAGAAATCAGAAACCTAAGGGATCAATGCACCAGAGATAATCAGAAGCTACTTGTCCTATAATGCCTCCTTCTTCTCCAAGAATAAGGTGATCTTCAAAATTCTTTTTCACCACTTGTAATATGGCAGCTTCACTCATTTTATCCGTTCTGTTAATTCGTTACAAATGACTATGATTTGGTTAAAGAAACAAAGAAAAGATGCAAAAAATGATCAGTTTGGAGATTCAATAAGACCTTACTCAGTGACCAAGTCGGTTAATCCTTTATATGTAATATTCCGCGGCTTATTAACAGCATCCATCACAACCTGAATATAATTCATGAGTTGGAACAATTCAATTCAAATCGTGCTTAATAATATCAAATTCATGAGTTGGAAAAATGGAACCTGAGCACCGGTGTTGGCAGCAAGTGTAGCGATTTGAACGAGATGAGCGGGTTGAATAGATCCGGTGGAGGTTGCGGCAATTCTTGGAAACTTATCAGATTGCAAAGTGTTGTTACACACATGCGCCCTCGATGGAGAGCGTTGACGGTAAGTAGGAAATAGTGAACAAAGTTTTGTAGCTGAGGACATTGCAATTGACATCACGCTTGCTTGCTAATCGCCTCTTCTTTCAAGATTGTGTCTTGTCAAGGACAAATAAATCACTCTATGAAAACTCCTCCGCTCATTTCTAATTTTTTTTTTTAAGTTTGATACCCTCGCTTACATTTGGTGTATGTTTGGATCAGAAAAAAAAATAAAAAATTTAATGCATCTTAGATATTTTTAGTGTATTACGTGAAAATACAATAATGTTTTTAGATGTTGGAGATGCATCTTCGAACGCACCAAATACATATTGATAAAAAAATTTATGGAGATGTATCCTCGAACACACCAAATACATATTGATGAACCTTTTTTTCGGAGATGCATCTTCGTAAATATTACAGGAGCGTTATGATGCAGAAGCAGAAAAACATAATAAAAAATCAACATGTTGACAAAATAAAATTATCATTGATATCATAAAATCATTAATACACAAAGGATTTTAACATAGATCAAACATTACATTTCAATATACAGGTGAACGTTGCAATATCTTGATAATATCATCGTCTGATCTCGAAACAATCGTATCCAACTCGATCGGAACTTTTGATTCTAATCGGGAAAAAAGTATTCTACATAATCCTTAAATCAGCGGCCATCTTCAGCTCATAGTTGATGAACTCAATCATCTCTTCTTTTTCAATGGATGGTGAGTGGTACTCGATCTTCATAATTTTGTGATTGTCATTGTAAGATAGGAGCTCGTGTAGTGTGTATTTCAGATCTTCAATAGGGGTATACCCAGTGATTTAAAATTCTCTTAAGGGTTTCACACTGTTAAAGTAAACATCTTTACTTGCCAAATGATGTTCATTATGGTGTAATGTGTTTTGGTATGAAACTATAAGATAAGTGTCCTATATTTAAAGGGACACTCACATTTTCTTGAACTGGTTTCATCTCGTTTGAAATTTTGAAGAGAGTGTCTATATTTCTCACTTCTTTGGCATGACAATGTCACAAATACACCTCTTTTATCTAAATCATTATTGGACCTTCTGATTACAATACCAAACCTCAGTTTGAATATCTTTGTACGAATCATTTGAAGCATGTGATCACAAAATTCAAACTCTTGTTCATTTTTAAAATGGTTGCCAACATCTACCTCTTTCAGAACTACGCGTGAAGCATCCAGAGACATAATAGGTTTGGGAACAACATCGGGATGCACCATATCTAATAAAAAAAAGCATAAAATACTCATGTAATACGGTGGGAGAACTGACTTGGGATTTCGCGCTTGTGTTCGCAAATGTTTCGGTTTAGCAAGAGTCGCCACCGATTTTTTATTTTATCCTAAGGAAAGGTCAAAAAGCACAGGAAAGACCTTTGAGATGTTTTCTTGGGTTCGGGGAGTAGATTATGAAAAGGGAAGGTGCAAGTGCCCTTTTCATCCATGGTCATCTATGGGCTCTTAGTTACTTGTTTAGATCACTTGCTTTTGCTTTTCAATTGTTTGAAATGGTGCTTTGTGTGTGGTTTTGAAAATGTTTTGAAAAGAGGCCATCGTTGTGGTAACATTTGTAATGATTCTTGTTTGAATATATACAAAGGTGTTTGTCTTTTGAAAAGATTTCAATGTTTGAAAGTTTGGTTTGGGAAATGTTTTGTGTAGTGAAGTGTGTTTGAAAATAGCAAGGATGTTTTTGCAAGCTTTGATCAAGTAACTAAGAGTTGTCTACCCTATTTTACTCAAAGGTATTTCCTACACATTTTTAACCCTTTTGACAGTGTTGTTTTACCATTGCATTTGATAAACAACCTTGTATTAGGATGTTAAACGGGACAGGCGCGGGTCATCGTATTGACTATGATAGCAATATTGCCAAGTATCTTTAGCAATTTTTGAGGGACTGGATTATTTTGTTTAGGCAACCAAGATAGCGTCATCGAGGGACTATGATCTTTTGTTTTGTTTTTTGTTTTGCCAAAGTACTCAACATGCATAACATGGCCCATTTTTAAGGCAACAAGTGGATGAAACCCTAGGGGTGCAAGTGTGCATTGTGTATTGATTTTCATGCATTTTTGTCTTTGTATTAGGTCAAGCTACTTGTTAATTTTATATTTTTGCATACAAATCCTAATCTCTAATCATGGTATAATTGAAAGCATAAATGCGTAAAATAAACCTACCACTATTACAACATGATTATGGGGATGGGGGTACAATTTTTGAATGGGGATTATTTGACAAGAAATTAAAACCCTAATTTTACTATTACATCCAAATTGAATCAATGGCATGAATAATGAATGAATAATATTTAAATAAACAAATTAAATAAATATACAAAATAATATGCAAAAATGGTTTTGTTTATTTTTAAGTATGTAAAAATATTTAATGTAAAAAGAAAGGACTAATAAAAAAAAGATTATTATTTTTTATTAAGGGTAAACCCTAATTTTCTTTTAAGAATACAAATATATTAAATATACTATTTATATACAATAAAATAAAATAGTGTATATACAAAAAAATAAAATATATTTAGAAAAAGTATTATTTAAGTATAAATAATAATAAAAATAAAAGTATAATATTTTTATGTTTTTATTCTAAAGTATCTATTAAATAAAATAAAAATATGTATATATATATATATATATATATATATATATATATATATATATATATATATATATATATATATATATATATATATATATATATATTAATTATATTAGTTATGCACAATAAAAAATAAAATAAAATATATACAAGACCAAAATATATTTAGAACAATATTTTTTTAGTGTAAATAATAATAAAGAATAAAAATAAAAGTATAATGTTATTATTTATTATTCTCAATTTTTCAATAAATAAAGGTATATACTATTAAATTATTTTTATGTCTAAAAAACAATAAAATAATAAAATAAATGTGAGAATTTATGAAAATATTTTTGGATATTTTTATGTTTGGAAAATATAAAATAAAAATCAGAAATGATAAATAAATACAAAAATATAAAATATAAAGAAATTGGGTCAGGGGTGTATTCAGTAATGAGGGAGGTGTCAAAAACAAAAGAAGCCAAATCCCAGCCCAAAGCCAGACTTCATCTTCAACCTTGGTTCAAAATTTCGCGCGCCCTGTACCAAACATGAACAACCTGCATACGAGCTCTAATGCAAAAACACATAACATCAAAGTTGTAGGGTTTTCCAAGAAGAATTCAACCATATAAAAAACTTGTCCTAACTCTCAAAGACCAGAGAGAATTTCTCTGGCCCTAAATCTTAACCTATTTTTTTCAGGATGTTCATGGACCAAATTCTCTTAGTATGCTTAATTAAAATGAAAACTGAGCATATGTATAGCTTCATGGCTATGAATACTACATTTCTTATTCACAAACCTAAGCCTAATTGTTCCTAAATAGAGAGATAGGAAGTTGACAAAAACCAGTTTCAGTTGACTTCGTGTGAGAATTTATGAAAATATTTTTGGATATTTTTATGTTTGGAAAATATAAAATAAAAATCAGAAATGATAAATAAATACAAAAATATAAAATATAAAGAAATTGGGTCAGAGGGTGTATTCAGTAATGAGGGAGGTGTCAAAAACAAAAGAAGCCAAAGCCCAGCCCAAAGCCAGACTTCATCTTCAACCTTGGATCAAAATTTCGCGCGCCCTGTACCAAACATGAACAACCTGCATACGATCTCTAATGCAAAAACACATAACTTCGAAGTTGTAGGGTTTTCCAAGACGAATTCAACCATATAAAAAACTTGTCCTAACTCTCAAAGACCAGAGAGAATTTCTCTGGCCCTAAATCTTAACCTATTTTTTTCAGGATGTTCATGGACCAAATTCTCTTAGCATGCTTAATTAAAATGAAAACTGAGCATATGTACAGCTTCATGGCTATGAATACTACATTTCTTATTCATAAACCTAAGCCTAATTGTTCCTAAATAGAGAGATAGGAAGTTGACAAAAACCAGTTTCAGTTGACTTCGTGTCTGACAATGTGGAGCTTTTCAATGAGGCCTAAAGTGTTCGGGAGCTTGCTTGAACTTCCCTTGACCTTCTCTAATGCCTAGCTTGCCTTGAATGTGCTTGAACAAGCCTACAGAACTCAACCTGCACAAGCTGAAATCAAAAATGGCAAACCTTGTAAATGGAGTTACAATTAGTGTTTAAGGATTGGGATAGCTTGGATAGGTTGTATGGAAGGTGTTTGAACAGGTTTGGGGCAAAACGCACGAGCAAATTGTGTTATGGAAACCAAACTGCAGATGCTACCCCGTTTTGCCAATGGAAGGTGATTTTGTGTTATGGGAGGTTTTAGGGCTCAAAGGATCGTGTTTCTGACTCAAGGGGATGTGAGAAACTTGTCTCAAAAACTTGCACAAGTTGGTTCTAGCTGATGTTCAAGTTGTGTGAAGTTTGACAAAAATCTTGGTTATGAAGCAAAACATGAGAAGTGATATAAAGCAGGCCTGTACAGGCTATCCATCAGCTTTCCCATTATGATCTTGTCCCCTCAAGTTGGTGGATATGATTTGCTGCACAAGATCTTGTTCATGGACCAAGAGATGTGGTTTTGACATAAAGCATACTTTGGAAAAAATGGTAATGTACCTTTTACCATTTAGGGATTAATCTTGTGTGCAATGCTCTAATGACCAAAACAAAACCTTAGACCAATGGATTTGCATTTAACTATTGAGTATGGAATGGTTTTGAGGCATTTAATCTAGTGCAAAGCAAGCTGATTTGAATTTGCAACTTGTATCAACATGAACATGCCATGGATAAAAAGTGAGTTTTTGCCAACTTCAAGCCTTCGATTCTCCCTAACCACAAATGAGTTTGGAGAGTTCTTGGAAATTTTGGAAAGCTTGCAACATGCTCTACAATTCATATTTGAAATGAAATTTTAGATTCTAAGTGGAACTATGTGAAAAATGGCCATGAAGATAGGTCAAAATCCTGCCTAAACTAGGGCAAAATTTCACTAAG